CACCACCACCACCACCACCACCTGTCATGCTCTTGCTACTGCAACTGCTGCCGCTGTTACTGCTCCTGCTGCTGCTGCTGCTGCTGCTGCCACCAGTACACAACCTTGTACGACCCACCGCCGACGGCTTCAACCTCCCACCTGCCTATTGTACTGCTCCGGTGCACGCTATGTGCAGTGCCTCGTTGCGCCATCGATCCTAAGTGTAAGCAACGGCTTTCCCCCGAAAAGTAGGTTCCCGTGCAGGGTTTAGCGGGTAAGTTCTGCGTAAGTTCCGTGTAAGTGACGTTAAAGTCGACGTTGCCACATCAAGGCCATCCCCAGATGGACATCGTCAGCAATCCAACCCCTAAGACAACCGTACGCAGCTGTACAGAAGCCCAGTAGCCGGCAGACAAGGCTCCCAGAAACTCTCAGTTAGTTCGGCCCCCGAAAGCTTTGCAACCGAAAGACTTTCAGGAAACTTTGTCAAGAATCCAACCCTAAGACGGCTTTGTTAAAAATCCAACCCTTAAGATGGCCTTAACCAGCCTTCTCCAACTACCGTGGCTTTCACGCAGCCCTGAAACCCCCTAGGAAGCCTCAGGCTCTTATTTCTAATTCCCGTAACAACTTGTCATCAAGAAGCTTGTGGCTTATATCTCAGGGTTCTAACTTGCAAAGGTATGTAAGTATGCCTTCGCGAAAGTTCCGCGATGGTGGCACGAAAGTTACTTTTTGTTCGTGAAGAAGGTCATTCCGGGATGAAGGAATTTGGATCAACAGCCAGCAGAAGAGTTACACGGGAGGGTGTTCGAAATGCACTGCCTGCATTTCGTCTCTCCCAGTTTACTAAAGAAGCGGTCGCTTCGAAGCCTAAAGCACCCCAACCCTCAATCCGTCTCAATCCCTCAAACGTCCTTCCTTACCCAAAGCCCCCACACAGAGGAGGGTGCGCCCCATCTTCCCCTCCCCTCTTCTTTACGCCGCTCCGTCCGAGGCCAACTCCGCCGCTTCGCCCCAGAGGCTCCCTTGGGAGGCCCGGCTTTCGGCTTTCGGACAGACACTCAACATGAGACGCTGGCACAATCCAGGCGCCGTTGTGATGCAAGCAAAGTACATGAACCATCGTCAGGCATACGTCAAGTAGCTTGCGTGCGCTTGCCCAAGTGCTGCATCAAGACGTACTGTACGCAGGGTTGTGGAGTAAGTTATGCCCGACGCTGCGCTTAGGATGCCGGACTCTCTGGCTGCCTTTTGGCAACTTCAACAAAGCCTTCTCATTGCCCTGATCATTGGCCGGGGTTTGCGGCCGCAGCGTAGTACAGGGGCGTTGGGTTCCACCGGTCCACTGAAGACGCCAGGCAGCAGTCGACCTCCTGCGGGTGGCCCTGGTGAGGCTCAGCAGTGGGAAGTCGTGCAATTGGGCTTTAAAGTTATAATCGCTTAATTATCGTCGGAATCATAAACTGGCCGAGCAGTGTCCTTTGCATGTCCGTTCAGACGGCCGAAGGCCAGGACCGGCAAAGCCCAGAGATACCCTCGGCATCGGTATACTCAAATCCTACTTTCTTAGTACCCTCAACCCTCAACCTAAACCCATCGAAACCAATACCGCCAAAGCCAATAATCCATAATTATCTACTAATACTCTATTTCTTTTTGGGGCCTGTAGGCTTGTTGAGATCGACAGCGCCGTCGACAACGCAGCGATCAGCTGCTGCAGCCTGCGAGGCCGGGGTCAAAATGGGGTTCGTTGACAGATCCTGGCTGAGCGCGCTATTCGTTTCCAAGGGATTAGGGTAAAAAGGGTTTGCGTCCACAGCACAGGCGTCTCGGTTCCTCGCATATGCATAGCCCAGGTGTCAAAGGGTTTAGGGTTTAGGGTCTCGTGCCTCCTTGCAAGGCTCTTTGCTGGGATTTTGGAGAGGCTGGCTTCGTGGCTGTAGGGTTGCACAGTTCTCCAGTGACTGAGCTTCTGATGGGGCTCTGCACTCCTTCATTGCGGAGCTCAGACCTTGAGGCTTACTTACTTTGAGTTTCTCAGGAACGGGGCGTTTGGCTTTAAGCTTTGGGGCTTGTGACTTGTTTCTGAGCAGTGATGAAGCCTGTTGGGTCAGAGCCGGCCGCCACTACATTACTGGTCGCATTCATTGCAACCAGTGAAGATCCGCCAAGAGTGTGAGTGCGGAAACCCGGCAGGAGATTGGTGCCGCACTTCTTTACTCCTGTCGCGGCTGCGGGCCCCGGACAACCTCTCGCTCAGCTTCGCTGCTTCGGCTGAGAGTGTGGGATTTCGAGCGTTGGAAGCTTGGGCCATGTAGGTGCTCTGCTTGCAGTCTGTCTTTGCCTGAGTCAACAGGAGCTCTTGTGCTTTGATTGCGGTTTAGACTTTCTTTTTGTCGGACCTTTTTGTTGCGGTTCGGCGTCAGCGTGGTGGCACCTGACATCTTTCGCTGCGCAACCTCAGACCTTAGCTTGGGCTTCCATCGAGAAGCCCTGCGATGCGACAAGCCCTGAAGCCCAAGCTCTGGCTATGATTTTCGTTTGAGCAGTTGCGAAGGGATCAAAGGCGCGGGGGCATCAGGAGGATTTAACCGGATTTTTCGGCCGTCCGAGGATTTAGGTTAGGGTTCGGGGTTTACGATTTGGCTTTTGAGGTGTCATTCAGAACAGGCCTGTAGACCAAAAACGCATGTGTTCTGTTCGCCCTGATGACCAATTTTTCTTACTCGACAGTGCACGTTTGTTTCTGCGGAGCGCTACTCAGCGTTCTTACTGTGAAAAGAGAGGCTGCCCAAAATTCAGCACACACCGAAAGGCTCACAGAACCTACTTCGCCTCGATCCTCAAGCATTTAACCGTTAGCGTGTCTTTGACTACCAGCTTCCGCCAAACTCGACCACTCAAGGCCGATTAGTTTACCCTGATCCCAGCGCTACGTGTAAGGCCATTGCCAGCTGCGCCACGGCTTGTGAGGACGCCGCACGAGCTTTGAACGCCCCCAACCCTGTAGTGCCCTTCCGCCCCTCATCATGTCCCATGTTTGATGTTTCCTCAACCCCAACGCCACTCTCGGGTTGAGGGAACGGGGAGGCCGGGCAGGGAAGGTGTTGAGTTTCCTTGCTTTGGAGAGGAGCCGCTTGTTCCGTAGAGTTTAAAACTGAATGTATTCAGAGTACACCCCCTCACCCACCTATACCTTGATTAATTTGTATGTTTCTTTTGTGGATGAGGTCTTCGATCGGGCTTTGTGCTCAGAGATGAGGTCCTCTACCCTGGACCACTGCAAGGTAGTCCAGAAAACAGTGTCAAAGATACTTGTAGTTCTTTGGAAGTCCTCGAATTCCGTCGACGGCGTTTCCGTCCTGTTGAGCACCAGCTTCCTCAGCCTAGCTCTGCTTGCCAAACAATGATTTACATGAGCTTTCGCCGGCTGTCATCACCACCAGCAATATCTGTATCTTGTGTAAGATGCAGCTAGCCGACGCTTTAAGCCGTCGTTTGGCTCAAGTAAAATGTGTGTGCATTCTGGCTGTCTTGCCTACAAACATAGTACGGTTATCAGCCGTAGGTCTCACCAAGGTAGTCTAGAAGAAGTTCGCAATGGAACCAGCTCCCGCAAGCCCTGCAGACATACCTCACTCGACAACCGAGGAGGCACCTTCACTTCCTGCTATGTCCGTTCAGGAGGTGGCGCCGATCAGTTGGCCTTCGCTCCCCGAGTCCGAGAGGGTGAACCTACGATGCCGGTGACTGAAAGGTCGCTGGCACTGCTAGGAATGGACGACCCAAGAAGACGAACGGGAGGTGCGATTTCGGAATGGGATTATGTTACTACACCATCCCCTGCATTCGCAACTCTAGCGGGCCGCCAGCAGCTGCAACTTCGTTGATTTATTCACCCAATGAGATTTCACACGTGCCGAATTTCTCCTACCATCAAGTCCTTGCACCGATCCTCAACCAACAGGTCCTTGTTCAGAACGATACAGGACCAGCTGTTGCCGCACAAGCCGAAGCCAGGCATTCGGCAAACATGAATGAAAGAAAGGAACAATTTGGGGAGCAGTTTGTCAGGCTTCAGCATGAGGCAATTTCGAGTGCATCAAGACTCAGCTTCGAGTTTCTTCAAGCCGAGAGCCGTCTTCAACATCACACAGAGGCAGTTAAAGCAGCCGGCGAAGGCAGGGCTAACAAGCCTTCTGAGGAAGTTTCTCAGATGCGTAGAAACGCCATGGATGTGAAGCTCAAGCTTCACCACGCCGAGACAACTGTAGGCTGTAGGTGTTGATCAGGCGAACTTCCGACAGCGAGTTTGACATTTTGCGAGTGCGTTGTGTCCAAGGACACATGGGCGAGTTAACGTCTGACCTCACTGACGTGAAGGGCACCCATGAGGCGTTACACACTTTCGTGGATTGGGACGCCAGTCTAACGAGTAGGCGGAAAATTTCGCCTTACGATATCAACTCAGTTGCTTTCGAGAAATTCCCTCACGAACTGGGCTACCACGGCACGTACATGCGCAACTTCGTTGACATCGTCAGATATGGACTGGTGTCAGGAGGTTCAGCGCGCCACGAAAGTGGTAGCAGGGCTTTTTGTCATGATGGGCAAAGACCCTGCATGGCTCAGACAGGACAACGCTGGCCTGCGACAGCCAGCTGAAATCGAGTTTGTGATCGATCCACAGATGGCAGTCCGAGACGGGTTAAGCTTCTGGAGACCCGATCCGGATCATTGGAAACGCGAGAGCCAGCTGATATCGAGTTTGTGATCGATCCACAGATGGCAGTCCGAGACGGGTTAAGGCTTCTGGAGACCCGATCCGGATCATTGGAAACGCACGACTGGGTGTCCAATAAGTGTTTTGTCTACGCTTATCATCGCGGTTCGTCCGAGCCCATGTGGATGAACCAGGCTTTCCGTCTCAGAATCGACAAAGCAATGGACAAATGGGATAAGCAGACTGTCCAGGCCTTCGACCCAGTCGAGAGCCTCTACAATCAGTACAACTGTTTCTTGGGTTTGATTGATGGCTCCTTGAACGACCAGACTGGCGACTGGGCACCCATGGCCATCGACAGCAAAGTCCCGCTCGACACTGCGTCCAACCACCTGACGGAGGTTCATGGAGTGGAGATCAAACATCGGGATACGAGGGACGCTCCTGCGGACAACGCGGATGGGAAGTTTGGGCTGTGCCTTACTGTTTGGCCTTCCATGGAAGGTAGGCGAGCAAAGCCTTTCACCAGGCGAGAGCCTCGTCACTGGATCAAGCAAGAACTTTTCGCTTTCCCAGGATTTGTTTGCAGTCAATGCAACCATGCCTATTTCGACGGGAAGATTGAATGCCAGTGCTGTACAATCGCCTCGGTTACTGACCTCTCCGTGATCGCGGAGCCAGATCGCGTGAGAAGGCTCGCCACCCGAGAAGGCAGGCTTCCCCACATGATCGACTGGCAACCCTCACCAACGTGTTCGACACACGGGGCAAGAAGATGAGCAGGTGGAGAGGGTGCCTCCACCATCTGAGCCAAGATAGTCAACCAACACAAGCAGGCCGAGAATAAGTTTAACACGACACCGCAGGATCGCATGAACATTGGTCCCCTGCAGGCCCACAACTTTGCAAAAGCTGGTTTGAGCTCCTACACCATTGAGGCTCTCCAGCGCTTCGCTGACGTGAGGCTGCCCAATCCGCTGGGATAAGGGCAAAGGAAAAGCTTGCGTTCCTATGGGTGCCTGGTCAAGCGGAAATCGACCTCTTGCGGAGTGTCTGATTTGCTTTCATGATCGCTTCTGCACGATCGACGAGAATGCAGTTCTCATCAAAGCAGCAACGTCGAACCAATATGAGTTCTCGTTGCTTCAGCACGATGGGGACAAGTATTTCGTGATGCAGTCAGAAGTTCTTGCTATCATGGGCGAGTTGGCCACTTTGTTCGAGAAGGAGCTCCCAAAGAGCCGCAATCCGAACGAGCGGGAGTATCCAAAGCTGACCTTGGGTCGTGAACTGGCTCTGCCTCCTGGAGTTGAGAATCTTGTGCGACGCCAGCTCAACGAGCTTCTCGCGAACACGCCGTACCACCAACAGCGGCCCGAGTACTTCATGGACAAGGTGATTGAGATGAGCACAGCGGCGAACAAGATCGCCGCCCACCGGCTCCTCCGAGTGCTCTGCCAACAAGGCGCGGTCGCAGCTCCGACGAGCGTGCCAGCGCTTGCTCTGCTGCCGACCGGAACAGGACACGTTCCCCCACATTGCAAGGAATCGGCCCACTGAAACAAGCATCAGAACGAGTGGAGCCGCCTTCTTAGAGGATAGGCAGAAGGAGTCGGGAGCCGGATCTTCAAAAAAAGTGCGTCCACCGGCTAACCGCTAACCCACCGCCTCGACGTGTGAATCGTGATCCTTCCAGACTGGTCAGCTATGGCCACAGGCGGAGCATTTGGCACCTCAGCTCCGGAAACGGATGCTCCAGTTCCTTCATGGGCTGAATCTCATCGCAGACGCTCAGCTGATCCAGTCACTTTCGGACCCTTCTTCACAACGCAAGGGGTCCCGGAACGAGAGGTCACGGCTCGCCAGGTCACTGCAGACTTCTTCGATTAACTGCAGACTGCAGGACTCCTGTATCCGAACTTTAGGCTTGGCTGCGACCCGGCGGGCGAAATCATCGACCCAACTTTGGCTCGTCGGCCTGAATGGAACAGAGTCGACGCATGCCAATGGGCTGTTTTCGCTGCATGCACAGAGACGATTATCCAGCCTGAGCATGTGATAAATGTGCATCCATCTCATGTCAATCTCCACGGCTTCACCAGCTGTCACATGTGCAACGGTATCTGGCAGGTTGCAAGCACGAAAGATACAACCACAGGACTGGGTGCAGAGATCGTCAATATTGATGGCGAAATTTTCTTTCGCGGTCATTGCGTCTGGACTTGATTCACCTCCCTAACGGGACGGTATCCTGAGCAAATCTTAAATACGCGTTTCACTAAGTGAAGTGAACTTTTCATCGTTTTGGCGCCACCCTGACAGGTCGGCCGCATTCTCGACTGAGCAGAGAAAAGGGTGAAGATGACCTGTTCATTTTTTTTTGTGAATTCGTTGGCGTTACAACGTGATGTCACCACGACGGCTTAACAGCTAGTCTTTCCTTACACCAGTGCCTTCGCCTCTACCATTGACTAAGACACGCGGGGGGTGTATTTCGTGTTAAATGCAGCTAGCCTACGCTTGTAATCCGTCGTTTAGCTCAAGTAAAATGTGCTTGTGCATTCTGGCTGTCGTGCCTGTAAACATAATATCGCCAAACCAAGCCTCGTACGTACGACACTTTCGGGCCCGAAGTTCTGTAGGTGCGAGGGTTGGTACCCCAGTACAGTAGCGGGCAGGAACAAGAACCAAGCTTGCGCAGGAACATCCATCTCGTCGGCGGCAGGGACAGAAAAAAATATTAGGACTCTTTAGGCTCCGAGCGTCAAGCCCAAGTCCCACATCCCTTCACTCTGGCCCCAGACGCGGCCCATGAATTCTTATAAATCGTACAGATGCAGTCACCACTGCCAACGGATTCCAAGCTGGGCGAGATCCAAGCATCTTGAGCACGAATGTTTCACTGCTCGAGCTCATCCTATCACTGGAAGTCCGCTCCAGACACAAAGCATCCTCACCTCGAAGCCTCCCTAAAGCACCAAAACGCCTACCCGTGCGCGCGGGGGGTTCTTCCTATCGGCCCAAGAGCTGCACACCACAAAAACAGGACCCCTAGCCCACCTAGCCCACGTAGTCCGAAACAATTTAGGATCCTGAGGGCCCTCCTAAGGATCCGCAGGGCACTATGGAGGGGCCTTAGGGCCCCAAGGATCCTTAACACAACGTTTAGGGCAGTTTAGCCTTGGGATGCGGCGCCTACGGCCTGGCAGCTGGCCTGGGGGTGGCGGGAGAGGACGGGGAGGCTGGGACCATTCCTTTCTTTTTAGAGGGCCCTGCGGGTCGGGGCTTTAAAACCCTATGGGAAGACCCTTGGAGCAACAGGAAGGACAGGAAGGGGGAGGCTGGGACGATGAGGCTTCCAGGGATAAGAGCAGGGTTTTTGCGAGTGTTCGTTTGCTGATTTCGAGAGTCTTTGCGGGAGAGATGTCGAGGGTCCATTCTGTGTTTGCTATCTGGGATTTGCTTGTTTTACAAGATCGGGTTCTTGAAGGAGACTTCTTTCGGCAGCAGAGGCAGAGGTGTTGGAGGGGGAGAGTTTACATGTCTTGGCGATTGGAAGGTTCTGAGGTTGGGGCCTAGACGGGTTTCGTGGCTGCAACGCAGAGCCCTCCAAGCCCAAAGCTGGATCTTTTTGAGGCGAGACAGCAGCAATCACCTGAGTGAGGAGAGCACATGAATCACTGCGCATTCCCATTCTGGCTTTAATTCGAAGTTGAAGAACCCAGTAAAGCACAAGCCTCTCAGCGCTAACTGGTCCCAAGCTTCAGCCCTGAACACCCCCCAAGCGAAGGCCTAGAAGGATTTCTTTGAAAGCCGTAAATGGGGGGTGGCCGTAGTTTTAGCCTGAAGCCTCGGCGCCTCCACAGGGATGCTTTCCATCCCACGGCCGGCCTCACGGCAGGCTGTCAAGGGTAGGGTGGACAGGGCGGACAAAGTGTTGCGGGATTGGGAATCCGAAGTCCGCAACTCTATATGAACTGAAGCGGACCGACAGTAAGCCGATGATTTCTAGCCGAGGGCTTTGGATATCCTCCGCAAAGCTCCGAGGCTTCAAAAAGAGGCGCAACAATGTATGTTCATGGACTAGTTGTCCTATGTCCTATGTCTTCAAGATGTCCACAGGCCAGCCAGGTCAGCAGCACTCTTTGTGGTTCTGGAGGCGATGTTCGAGCTTAGGGACCTTTTGGACAGGTTTAGGTTTAGTGCCCAGTCCCTTTGTAGACCCTGTGCACCTTGGCAGCTCTAGCTGGGCGCGCGCAGCTAGAGTCGTGGATTCGAGGAAGTGCCCCAATGTAGAATTCAAAACCCAGAAGATTCTGGCATATCCGAGGCATCAGACAACAGTAGTGAAGAGTGTGAGCCTCGAGTGCTCCAGGATGTTGGCATGAGCATCATGCTGGAGCTGCCTGCGTGGCAGCAGCAGCCCGCTGCCTGTCGAAAGCCGTTCATTTGTTTGATGCCATACGGTCGCAGACCTTTGCCAACAGACATCCGTTAAGAATGTCTGTGTGGGGAGCTACGGAGACGGAGACAGTCCATCCTCCCTAACATCCATTTAGCTAAAGTCGGTAAGACACCGATACCAGGCCGGGGCGGTTGTGGGCTGCGTGTGTTGATGGCTTTCCTCCAGCCGGACGTTGGGGGGAATCCCTCTCGAGCAATTCCAGAAGAAAGGACAGCGACGGAGACAAAGACGAAGTTAATAAACATCCAGATAGGGAGCCATTCAAACAAGGGCTTAAACCCCGTGGAAATGAGACGAATCAGATCGCACCTTCGCGCACCCGGATCTTTTCGCAGTGGAATCGCACAGGACTCGATTTAACAGTGCAGGGCTTCGGCCATGAATGCGCAACCTTTTGACTGATACCTGTCCCTTCCGTGCCACGGCAGGTGGAGATGATACTTCGTTGTCAGAAGCTTATGGACATGACCATGTTAACATCAGGATACTCTGAAACCGGCAAAATGAAAGCTTGAACCTTAATCCGGCGACGCCAACGGTGAATTCGGACAGAGATGGAGCCGAAGAGAGAAGAGTGACACAGAGAGCAACATGGTGCAGAGTTCTGACCATAAGTTTATGTTGATTTGCTTGTGTTCTCCCTCCCTGACCGGTGTGTTGAATGCCTATGCGCCCGTTGGAATTCTGAGAAGCCGCAAAAAAACCTTTCGGAAACCCCCATGGCATCTGTCAATCGGAGGAACGGCTTACATGGTCGCTGCAGGAGTTCGTTTAGAAGAGTTGTCTTGGAAGGGGATCTTCAGCGGTTACGGCCGGGGCGCACCTCCGCGTCCGACCGATGCCTTCTGGAGTCTGGATTTCATGGCTTTCGCGATGCAGTCATCTTGCAAGGTTCCTCAAAGCACCTGTGCTGCACATGTCCTTCTAGAGTTTGGGCCACGTCTGTTGTTGGCCACTTTGTCGTGGCAGTCATGTCGCCCCTTTCAGCCGCATTGAGCAGCATGCATCTGTAAAACTGTGCATGCATCTGTAAAACGGTTCTACGTGGAAGCCCCTCTGCGGAAGCTGCAACTGCTTGTGCTTCCGATATTGTAGTTACATGACGACATTGATGGTCATGGTGGTGGTGGTGGTGGTGGTGGTTGTGGCGGCGGCGGTGGTGGTGGCTGTGGTGGTGGTGCTGGCGCTGGCGGTGGCGGTGGCCGTGATGGCGGTGCTGGTGGCAGTGGTGATGATGACTGCGACGGCTGCGATGCTGGTGATGTCAGGACGTGCGTGCGGCTCGGTAAGCTAGCCTTAGTAGCAACATCAAGAGGACGAGCTCACACCGGAAGTCCCCGAGCTCTCCCCGATGGGCAAGCTTCGCCCCAGAACGCCCCAACCTTTGCTCAGCTGATCCCTGCGCTTTGGGAGGAGCTGGCCGGAGCAGGTCGAGAAGACCTAGCCGACCTGGTCCTTCAGCTGGTGCAAGAGGAGCCTGCGACTGCAGAAGCTTTGTGCAACATACTCTCTCTTGAATGGTCAAGTCCTAGTCAGATCTTTTTCGCATGTGACAGACTCTTAGCCGTCACCCCGATGCCTCGATGTCCGTTTCGGCGTACCTTTGCTTGGAAAATAATGGGAGTCGTGGCCACTAAACTAAACTCGCCTCACCCCCTGGCCTTGCCATCCGGTGCTGGGCTGCACTCGCCGAAAGGTCATGGAAGAAGGGGTGCAAGTCGGGCTCTCGCTCGGTGGTCTTGTGATGGAATCGGTGGCAGTGGGGGCGGGGGCTGGGGATTCTAGTGACAGCAAGACGCAGCAAACATCCACGCTAAGCACATCACAGCACCAGATCCTTTGCTTCGACCTGAAATGCAGGACGGCTCCGTTCCGCTGAGCACAGAGCAGTGCAACATCTGCAACTCAAGCCGCATGCAGGTCACTCATCCTCATCCGGAGGCCTGTGGTGACTGGTCCTGGAACTTCAATGTCTGATATGTCTCGGTTCGATGTGTATACAGAATATATACACACACATGCACATACATGCATGCATGGATGGTGTAGTGCAATGTAATGCGACGTAGTGCAATGTAAT